ACTCAATTGCCCTCTTAGCATCCATTGTAACGATCACTTTTAACGTCAAAGGGTGTGTTTTGTAGTTTCTGGACTTTTTGGGTGTAAAAATCAGTGATAATTTTAAAACAACAAACAACAAACAATAAAAATCTAAATCAAATTAGATTTAAGTGCAAGATCAAATGTACCCTTAGTGTTTATAAGAGGTTTAATTGTGAAGTAATTGTTTGTAAATGTTTAGTATCGCAGTACGAGGAAAGGAAAGGTATTTGCTTGATTCGTTGATCAAATAAAGCAGACAGTGGAATATTCCAAGGGATAAAGGCCAAACCATATATATTCCTTGCGTTTGATTCTCTGTTTGTGCAATTTAGTTTATGTTTGTTCATATTTGCTTGCCATAATTGTTCACATTCACAAATTATCCCAGAAAATACCTTAAGTCACAATCACAAATGTGTAGTTAAAAAGTGATTAAGTCATTTCGATCCTTCATTTTACCCTTCCAATTAGATCTCAATGCTTGAGCCCAAATTTTCATCTAATGGATAATTAAAATTGCTTCAATTTATATAATATAGTTTTTATTTGATGATTCCATTCATCAAATATTGAGGAAAGTTTATTATCCAAGTTCTTGAAAACACTCAAGCTGGCATTTCATATCCGCGAAATAGACTTCTTAATGCTCATAAGTCATATTCTCCCAACTAGTTTAGATATTGACCATCATAATTACATGATCAAAGAGAATAGACTATAAGACCATATCCAACTATAAACACCAAATTGGTACAATTTTCACACCATTTTACTATTGTATCTCCAACCAATTACACCAAAAAAAATATTCTCTTTCTATTAATTCTCACCAATTAATTTATTTCACTAATTATTTTTGTATATATTAATTAATTTACTTTAAGCTATTGAAGTTTAATATTTGCATTGTAATAAAGTTTTGTTTTTTATTTTTCAACATTTTTTTATTATATAATTATTATATAAATCAAACTAACATAAATACAAGTTCAAAAAATTAAATAACAAAAATAAAAAAATAAAAGATGTTTTGTGTGAATGAATAGTGTCACACCAAATTTGGTGTATGGTTGGAGCAAACTTTGAACACTATTTAAATGTTTTACACTAATTTGGTGTCCTATTAGAGATGCCCTTAGGGTTAAAATTAAGCCCTATTCACTTAAAATTGAGATAGACTTGCCCCATCCTTGTACATTTTGTTAAAATCGCCTTCTTGAATAGAGCGAGAACCCATGGGTACTATCTTTGAGGAAAATTGTCTTCCCAATTTATAGTGAAACTAGATTTTGACATGAGTTTTATGATTTTACTAGATTGACGGGTTTAAAATAATATCAAATTAAAGAGAAAATACATGAGGAAGGTGTTGAAGCAAATTTAAAAGTGTGTTTGAGATTGTTGTAGCTTCAAAATTAATCATTGAATTCTTAAGCTACAACAGCAAAAAGTGTTAGGTAAATAACTTATAAAACTGATAAATTATAACATAATCAACTTTATAAAAGGATTCTAAAAGCTAGCTTAAGTAGCCTTTAAAAATGAGATTATTTCTAAAGTTGATTTTACAATGTAAAATAACAAATATGCCCATAAATTATTCTTCAAATTACAAAATTAACTTAATTAAACATTTCATTTATTAAATGAATAATTTTATAATTCATTCATAAATTAAAAAAATTGAAACACCATCGGTCAATAGTGTCACTTTAGTGCCTCTATTGGTTCTACCATAATTTGAATCTTCTGTTGAAGATTGCAAAATATTGGGTCGCCTCTTGTGGCCAAAATCAGTGTTAGAATCTGGTGATGCATTTAGATTTCGATTGAATTGATAGATTTCGGTTTTGGTAGAACTGGCGATGGTGCCAACGCACCACCGTTGGCTGGTGTTTCACAACCGTTGACCCACACCTGTCGATCAATTATGTTTTTGAGTTAACAATTTTAAGAATTTATTTGATATAAATGACTTACATTGTCAAAAATATATATATATATATTTATTAAATTTTTATCAAAATACAAATTTAGAATTATAAACATATTTTAAGAAATAAAATGTTTGTTTGGTCATTATACATATAACAATTTCAAAATCTAATTTACAGACACATAATAATAGATTTTAAGAACCAAAACAATTTTAAAAATTTGCTTCAGTAAACACATTTAAATTTATTTTCAAAGCTAATATTTTTTCGAAGTTGAGGAAAAGTTTATTAAACTTAAAACTACGCGAATCCCAAATTAGCCCTTAATTAGGATTCAGTGGTTTTTGTTTTTGTTTTCAATTTTTTTTTCCTTTTCTAAAATAATGCATTTCCTTCAAAATTACCTTTTTTTTTACCGTACATGAGTTAATGTTACAAAAACTAATGTTTGGGATTTTCGTGTTAACGCAAACATCTTTTCTTTCTCGTGAAAAAACTAAAATATACATGTAATTAACCCAAAACCCATTCTAGGGTGATTTTGTTTTACAATTTGTGAGGACAAAAAACTTGTTGAATAGTATATAAAAAATAATTTATTATAATTTTCCTTATGAGTATCAGTAAATAATAATTTTCTCTTTGAGGTATTATAAATAATTATTTATCTCCTTTCCTTAGTATTTTGTTAAGGGTTTGCTATTTAATTTAATAAATTGAGTGTATAATGACTTAGATAACAATAACCATCATTGGGTGACTTAATGGTAAAAGAGCAAAGAAAGATCTAATATTGGTCTCTCAAATTCGAGTCCCCTTAATGGTAAAAGAGCAAAAGAAATATTTAACATGGTCTTCCAAAAGCAGGATCTAATATGGTCTTTCAAGTTCGAGTTCTTTTGAAGGTAAAAGAGCAAAAAGTCTCTTGAGTTCGAGTCTCCACGGTTTCTAATAGAAGTGACCATTAGAGTTCTTACACGGTTGATGATTTTAGGGTTCCGGAGGATTAGTTGAGGTGTGCTTAAGCTGGTCTAGATACTTCTGGTAAAAAAAAAAAAATAATAATAATTAACGGAATGTAATATTCTCTCTAGCTAGAAATTCTTTGAGAAATATGTAACAAAATCCACTAAATAACTTTTGTAAACATATATACATATATGTATATAATGTAAAATCTAAAACTCTAATTTTAATGCATATAAATATATACACAAAATAACTGATATACTTTAATAAGTACAAAATAGTCTTGGACAGTGCCGCTAAACTCCTCTACTTCCTGATGTCTCACTCGATCGTAAATCATCTAGTACCTGCAAAACAGTAAAACAACGGAGTGAGCACTAATTGCTCAGTAAGTAAACCAAATTGCACTACTATTTTTCTTCCGTTACTCATATTCTGATTTTCCTTTTCTCACTTTAATTTTTTCTGATATGCTGCATTCTTTTCTAATATGCCTCATTCTTTTTTTATATTCTACATTCTTTTATGATATTCTGCATTCTTTTCTGATATTCTGCTTTGCTACTTACCAATGTGCAAAGACAATTAATAAAACTGTACATCATCGAGCACATTAGAAATGTTAAATCATGCAAGTAGCATAATACATATGCAGAATAATAAACTTTTATGAGAAAAGAAATTTATTTTCTTTTCTGTTTTCTGTCTCTTGTTCTGTATCTCTTTCTTTTCGTTTTTGTTTCTCTTTCTTATTTTATTTCTCTTTCTTTTCTTTTCTGTTCTGGTTTGCCGATCGGACTAGGTTGAGGCATGGATTTGGAACCCTCGACATGTGAGTGTATACTAGGTAACAGACTGTACTAATTCTGTTCTGCTATGCTAAGACCGTTCACTGATGGTGACGTGCATGTAGGTATTTTCTGCTGGGTACAGTCCTCATCCACATACACTGTTGATGGACTGTACAAATTCTGTTCTACTATGCTGAGGCCGCTCACTGATGGCGACGTGCATGTGGGAATTTTCTGCATCTCTGTCACTCACAGGTTCCCCATCGCAATAACCTTGTAACATAACATGCTGTAGAAAAAGAATAGAAAGAGATACTATACACATTTCTAAATGAATTTCCAAGCTATGAAAATTCTACACTTGCATTCTTTAGTAAATGAGAAAATATACATATTTTCATGTTAGCTTTAAAAGAATCTATAAGCCATTTTCTTTCTTTCTTTTCTCATTCTTTGCTAACATTTTCTTTAATATTCTCATTTACCAAATCAAGGCTATATATAAATAAATTATGCATAATATATGCATGATCAAGCCCATCCACAAACTTGAAAACTCATTATGGAATGATGATATGTCATGACATATTCTACCATTCTCTACTATCACAAATGCCATATCAAAGTAACACTTTAATATGCAATTCTTTTCTAACATTTTCATGTGCTATTCAAGAAGTAGTAAAGATTCAAGTAACTAGAACCAAGCACTGAGGGCCATTTCTCTCATGGAACTAACATGACCAAGTGATATTCTAAATTTTGGCATAACAATATGCACTCTTGAATACTAACATTTACACTTGGTTAAGCACAACATAATCTTTCTACTTCAATTCTTGCCTTTCTATAACCCTTTCTTCAATAGGGTTTAGCTAGCTCATGGATGCATTTTCTCTTTGGATTTTCACCAAACAATTCATATGCACATGCAACTACTAAGTTGGCTACACTTCCACATCTCTCTAAATCTACCAAAATTTGAGCAAAAACTCACTAATTATAGCCATAAACCTGGCTGATTTCAATAAATCTCAACACTTCAAAATTTCAACACTAATTCTTCCATAATTCCACCAATTCACCACATACTTAAGCACTACTTCTCATAGCTGGAAATTATACATCATTCAACATAAAAAACAGCCAACAATTCTTACATACAAACATGCAATAATCATTCTACACAAGTCTTGCTCAAATCAAGGCTAAAATTGGGTTTACTTACCTTGAATGTGTGATATAACCTCCCTTTGCTAAAAGTCGCTTCCTCTTGGACCTAGATCATATAAAAAGCTTCTTGTATATGCTTCTGCACTGATTCCCCCTTTAATGGATCATATAAAGCTGAAAGCACAAAAACCCTTTGCCCTGAATAAAGAACTCCACTAAAGATCCTAGCAAATGCAAGGAAGCACTCATCTGATACACCATTTCCGCCTTTCTCAGAATAATTATCCAAAATCTCCCCATTTGAATCTCGTTGAGGCAGCATTTTTATTGGGACAGCAAACATCTTGGAAACAAAAGCAACACATGGCGCTTCAGAGCTTGAATCACAGGCCGCAACTGACTTCCTCACAAGATTTGCCTCCATAAGTACATTTTTATCAACATTATTATCTAAAATCTCTCTCTTTGGAAGCAAACGTGAAATACGAAAAGATTGAGCAGAAACTGGGTCTGGCACACACTTCACTACCATTGACAAGATTGCATCTGACAACGGAAGCCAATGGCTCATAACCGATTGAAGTACAGCTTTTGGATCCTTGTTCTGAAGCTCACGAGGTAGTATAGACAAATTAAACGATTTAATCACTTTCTCAAGGACTGCTTTATCCCCATCTGGCTCTAAAGCAGCCTGGTAAACTTGCCATAATGGCTCAAGCACAAACTGTACAAACATAGGCCGTGCTTTACTCCCTGTACCTATCCCCTTCTTCCCTACAATCATCTTCGTCTTTGGATTGAAATACCGAGGACCCCAAAAAGCCTTCTGCAATGCAGCGGCACTAGCTCCAAGCTTTGTAGCATAAAATTCAGCAAACTCACTAATTGTAAAACCCCATCCATCCAATGCACAGACAAATGCTACATTCCCCTTCTGGGGTTGAAATGTATCTTCCTCATCATCCTCTATAAACTCAAGATTCTCATCACCCAGCTTCTCGGAAGGCCCCGCGAGTATAGAATCCACATCAGACAAATATTTTTCTGACTTATACGCACTCATAATCCCATTAACCTCATGAACAATTCTCAATAACCTATTATAAGCTTCCATTGGACTTAACCTCAACTCACAAATCAACCTATCAATCTTATTAAGCACTAAACATGGCGTCAACTTCTCAATCCAAGACTGACGCAAGACAGCATGAGTCTGAATGTGAACACCCTCAACAGCATCAACCAAAACCAAGGCACCGTCACTCAAACGGGCAGCGGTCGAGACTTCACTACAGAAGTCCATATGACCAGGGGAGTCAATCAAGTTAATTGAATAGTGTTTATAATGAAGAGCAATTGAAGAGCTCTTCATTGTAATGGCACGCCTTTGTTCCTCATCAAGATAATCCATAAACCTAAGCTTACCCGCTAGTTTTGGGTGGAGTAAACCACCACCAGTGGCGGCAATTAGATGGTCAGCAAGTGTTGTTTTACCATGATCTACATGTGCTAATATGCATATGTTTCGAAGGTTTCGGGTATCAGACTCACCCATTTTGGCACAAAAGAAAAAAGTCTAACCACAAAGAATACAGATTACTTACTCTCGACTCGACGGAATCGTTTGTTCTGTTTTCTCTTGTTGATACGGCGACCGCAAGCCGAAACTGGAGACTTGGTTTCGTTTCGGTTGTTTCTATAAAATGCCCCCAACCGCCACTACAACGACACTACTTTTAACGGTACTGTGTTAGAATAAACGGAACGGAGGGTATATTAATATTTCATTTTTTTTTACATCCCGTTTAAAGAAGAAAAAAAAGAATACTGCATTTATCTGTAAATTTAGGTATGAGAAAATATCCCACGGATTTCGATACATGTGGAGAATTGGGGATATGTGTATTTAGAGGACAAATTAAATCTCCATATTGATATAAGGAGGGGATGAGTTTAATAATCCCCGTCTAATTCTCCATTATAAAATTAAATATAAAACTAATTAAAATAAAAAATATTTATAAATAGGGACATTTTATTAAAAGACCAAATCAAGTTCAAATTTAATTAAAAGGCTATATAGTTTAAAAGTGTTAAGTAAATAACTTTATTATTGATTAAGGTTAATTAAACATGATTAGTCGTTAATTATGATTAATGAAGTACTGTGTAATCTTTTAAAAATTATAATATGTCCCCAAAGAGCCGAAATTCTTGTAAACAAACCCAAACATATTCTTCTTCTTTTTCCTGCCATTAATACATCCCCCCCCCCGGTTGTTGTTTCTTCTAAGCTTCGTCTACATCTTCTTCTTCTTCTGCATCTTTTACTTCGTCTACATCTTCTTCTTCCTGTACATCTTTTTCTTCATGTATTTCTTCTTCTTCCTCCTTCCTCTACATCTTCTTCTTCCTCCGCCATTAACATTTTCTTCTTCCTCTACTATTAACATCTTCTTCACCACAGATCCTCCTCCTCCTCTTCCTTCTGACATTTTGTCTAGGTATGTGTATCTTCTCTTTGCATTTTATGTTTCGATTTACAAAGATTTAATGATGGATTGGGTTTGGGTTATGATTTTGATTTAGTTTGCAAGGAGTGAAATTTGTTGAATATTTTCTTGCATTGTGGGTAGCTGGGGGGTGATAGCACTGATTGTAGGTGGAGATGACTGAAAATGTGTTTAGGATATGATGGATCGCTTAAGCGATCTGGTATGTCTGGTATAATGTAGAAAATCACAGATCACTTAAGTGATCAGGTATATGGCAGAAGATTACTTAAGCGATTTGCTATATGGCAACAGATCGCTTAAGTGATCAGGTAAATGACAGAAGATCGCTTAAGTGATCAGGCTTATTTATACTAGATTGCTTAAGCGATCAGACTTATTTATACCAGATCGCTTAAGCGATATAATGGATCGCTTAAGTGATCCAGTAAGCGATATACTAGATCGCTTAAGCGATACACCAGATCGCTCAAGCGACTCTGCAGATGCTTGTTAAAATCTTTCAACCCTTAATACATCAGTTAATAATTTTTTTTTCTTGCATTATAGGTACTTGACTATTATTTGACATGAGATAAGTTGTTTTGGGTGTTGAATATTTTGGTGAGTGGGTGGAGGAAGAAAGTTGCTGGAAGTGGATCAGAAGAGAAAATAAGTTATACCAATTGATGTGAGCACAAATGTTAGTTTTGATGAGTTGATTGATGAAATAATTAGAAGAGGTGATTTGAGTTGCTCACGTAGTGATATAGTTGTGAAATATTTTTTAAGCAGAGTTCCTGAACATTATAAGGTACCTCCTGCTATATTAAAGTTGGATGAAGGCGTGAAGTTATATATAATTGATGTAGGCGATAATGGTTCGAGGCCGATTTCAAGGGTTTCTTTTGTAGATAAACCGTTGGAAGTTGGTTCAAAGGAAAGGGATAACGAGGAAGAGAGAATGCTGGTTTTAATTTGAACTACAAGGGCATTGATTTCTTAGTTGAAAAATCAAGAGTAGGCGGTGATTTGGGTGGTGAGGAGGACACTGTAGAGGAGATTGGTCATGTGCGGCAGAATGAAAATGTTGACGAGGAGGACCTCGTACATGTTCCCGTAGATGTAGAGATTCCTTTAAATACAGATTATGCAGAAGGTGTAGTTTGTGAGGAAGAGAACACTATGGTCTTTTATGCAAGTTCAGAGGCGGCAATTGCAGGTAGTAGTGAATCAGCTCATGTTTTTACTGATGGATCAGATTTATGCGTAGCATATTTATTTGACAACAAAGAGGAAGTAGTGTGGAAGCTAAAATTTGTTTCCGTGAGAGGTAATTTTAAGTTCATCACCAAAAAGTCTAATTCATCATAGTGACGGTTGCATGTCGTGATCGAAAGTGCAAGTGGCGGGTTTATTATAGAAGGTTGGCGGAGTCCGAAAAATTTATTGTTAGCACATATACCCGTGAGCACACATGTGGGTTGGGACATATTTCAAGTGAGCATTGACAAGCCTCTGCCAATGTTATTGGACAATTTTTCAAAAGTCAGTTTGTTGAAGGGAAATGTCCATCTCCTAAGGACATTCAGAGACTAGTGCGCACAGAGTTAGGATGCACTGTTAGTTACTAGAAATGCTGGAAAGGGAGACAACATGCACAAGATTTTGTGAGGGGCACATCGGAGCACGGGTACGCAGTATTAGAAGCGTACTGTTATATGCTTGAGTTGATAAACCAAGGTAGCAAGACGACTTTGAAGTGGGACAAGAATATGAGGTTTAAATATTTTTTTGTTGCTTATGATGCTGCTATAAAGGGTTTTGTAAACATGAGAAAGGTGTTGGCTATTGATGGTTGCTTTTTAACGGGAAAGTATGGAGGTACATTGTTGGTGGCCACTGCACAGAACAACGAGAATCACACATATACTGTTGCATGGTGTGTGGTTGACTCTAAGAATGATAGTGCTTGACAGTGACGAGTTATGCATAATATCCGATTGACACAACTCTATAAAGAAGGGGATTGCCACTATTTACCCTCAAACACATCATAGATTCTGTATGAGGCACCTTGGTGAGAACATAAAACAAAAGTTCAAGTGTGCTGGCCTCTTTCAAACATACTACATGGTAGCAAAAACTTATCAAGGTGATGAGTTTGATGAGCACTTTCGACAAATTTGAATCAAGGATGATAGAATTGCTAAGCATATTGAGCATGATGTTGGTTTCGAACGATAGAATAGAGCTTACTTTCCTGGAAGAAGATTCGATGTCATGACCATGAACATAGCCGAGTCCATAAATTCGAAGTTGTTAATAGAAAAAGAGTTTCCAATAGTTGCCCTTTTTGATACAATCTAGAGGACATTGTCACGGTGGTTCCATGAGTGTCGTATGAAGTCAGATAATTTTACCACAACCCTTGTTCTGTCAACTGAAAAATTATTGCGAGAACGTATGGAACTGTCAAATGCACTGTTTGCCTATCCTCTTAATGCTCAAGAGTTCACCGTGCGTGACTATGGTCCGGATGCCCTAGTTAACTTTCTTAGTAAAACTTGCAGCTATAAAGTGCTTGGCATTCAATGTTTACCTTGTCCTCATGCACTAGCAGCACTGATACACCAACGAAAGCTGAATTTTGGTTCAAGAATTTACATAGAACTTTGCTCCCCTCTCTATATGGCAAATCACTACATGCTGGCTTATTCGGAAACGATATATCCAGTTCATCTAAAAGAGCAGTGGGTGGTGTCGCCAGAGTTGGTTAACATTATCATCCATCTGCCATTCAAGAAGACAAAAAATGGGAGAAAAAGAGTTAAGCGTATTCCATCAGCCTGTGAGGTTCCCAGAGGATGAATAAGTGCACTATTTGCAAGCAACCTGACCACAAGAGAAGCAGTTGCTAGAATCGATCACATGCAGATCCATAAAATTTAATGTAGGACATGCAGATCCACAAGAGGTTCCCCGGTGTATATAGGACATTATTTGTTGTATATAACGTTGTAATTTAATGTAATTGACACATTTCAAATTTGTACAAAACCAATTCAGTATTCCTTTCCCTCTTTTGAGTTTGAGTTTATTTAGCATTCTTGTTAAATGACATTAATGTGTTGATGCAATTAGGTTGTCAAATTCAGGAGAAAAGATTGAATTAATATGTGTTGGTGATTTTAGTTTGTTAAAATTTAGGAGAATAGCTGGAAAAAATAAGTGTTGCCCATGATCGTTTAAGCGACTATATATATTGCTTAAGCGATCAAGGGTTTTTCATACAGGTAAGACACTAAATCGCTTAAGCGATCTGGGATGATTTTGATTCTGCCTAGGACTTGATCGCTTAAGCAACCAACGCTAAAAGCCAAGAGTAACTTAAGCGAGACCATAAATCGCTTAACTGATCTGCATCTGGGATGATCTTGAATCTGCCAAAGACTTGATCGCTTAAGTGATACTAAATCGCTTAAGCGACTAAGGCTAAAAGTGAAGAATCGCTTAAGCGATAACATAAATCGCTTAAGCGATCATGTATCTGAGATGATTTTGATTCTGTCTTGCACTTGATCGCTTAAGTGACCAAAGCTAAAAGTGAAGAATCGGTTAAGCGAGAATATAAATCACTTAAGCAATCGTGCTTCTGAGATGATTTTGATTTTGTCTTGCACTTGATTGCTTAGGCAATCCTAAATCGCTTAAGCGACCATGTGTAAAAGCGAAGCATCGTGTAATGACTATCTTTCTAGCTAGTATACCCGTAAAATAACAGTAAAACTCACTAAATATATATATAAGAAAATATACATATAAACGAGTATAAAATATGGGCCCATATTTTATTTTCTTTATATATAAATCTTTACATAATATAATAAAGTCTCAAAATAGTAACTCGACAGTTTTGCCCAACCCTTCCGCTGCGTGATGTTCCAAGTGACCGCATCTCATCTGTTACTTGCAAAAACATTAAAAACAACGGGGTGAGAACTAATTGCTCAGTAAATAAACCCGCTATGCTACCCTTCTATCTCTATTGCTTAAATTCTGAATTTCTTTCCTTACTTTACACTTCCCCATTCTTCTCTATTCTTTCTCTACTCTTACTCTGTTTTTCTCTCTGTTCTTTCTCTGTTTTTCCTTCTGTTCTTTCTCTGTTCTTTCTCTA